CTATGGAACCATTGAGAGGTCATGTGGCAAAATGAATGAGCCAGCTGTCTTCTGAGACCGGAAGGCTTTGGTTCAGGTTTTGCCTCTGACACATTGTGACTTTGTGACCCTGAGTGAGTCACTTAACTTTACAGTAATGTAGGCAATTCTTTAAGACTGTAAGTTGGAGAGAAGGCACTGACCTGCATTGCTATAAGAAATTTCACATTGGGAGCACTCTAATCAGTGAAATCATAGGTCTAGTTCCAAAGCAAAGAACCATTATTAATCACTATTCTCTATTTTCAGAAGCTAGTGACTTAGTCAACAAGCTTTTACTAAGTACTAGGTTTTCTAATTACTTAGTACTGAATTTTCACAAAGAAGGGTGAAAATGCTCCCTTCCCGCAAGGAGTTCACATTCTAATGGGGGATGAAAGCTGAGTCTTGAGGGAAGTCAAGTGTCAGAGAGAGTGAAGGAGGGCATTCCAGGCATCATGGACAGCTGGTGAAAAGGCATGGAGTCAGGAGGTGAATATCATGTGTGAGGAACAGTAGAAGTCCAGTTTGGATCATAGAGGAAGTGTGAGGAGGAGAGGAAAGTGGAAGAAGACTGGAAAGGTAGGAATTGGCCAGGTTGTGAGGGGCTTTCAAAACCACAGGATTTTATGCTTGATTCTTGAGGTAATAGGGAGCTGCTGGAGTTTCAGTAGAGAGGTGACATGGTCAGACCTGTGCATTAGGAAAATTACTGGAAGTTAGCAGCAGAGTAATTAGCAGACTCTTGCAGTCCAGCTGTAAAGTGATGAGGGCCTGCACCAGGAGGGTGACTGTGTGAGCAGAAAGAAGGTGTGCAAGAAAGATGTTGTAAAGGTAGAAATGTGGGATAAGTGAGAATGAATAGTTGAGGATACCTAAGTCTTGGGTCTCATTAACTGGGAGAGTGGTGGTGCCCTCCATAGTAACAGGGAAATTGAGAAGAGGGAAACATTTGGGATGGATGGCAGGGGAGAGGGGGAAGATAATCAGTTCAGTTTTTAGTAGGTTGGGGTTTGAGATATCCAATGGACAGTTGGAAATGTGAAACTGGAGCTCACTAGAGATGTTAAGGCTGGATAAATAAATCTGAAAATTATCTTCATAGAGAAGAGAATTGAATACATGCCTCCTGATGAGATTACCAACCAAGATATTATAAAGCAGAGCTTCTTAACCTTTTTTGTGTCATGGACCCTTTTGCAGTCTGAAGCCCTTTCTTAGACCCTTTCTTGGAATGGTGTTTCTAAATGCATAAAATAAAATACATAAGATTATAAAGGAAACAGATTTCATTGAATAAAGATCTAATTTTTTCCCATTCAAGTTCATGGACCCTCAGAAATCTGTCCATGGTCCCCAGGTTAAGAACCCCTGGTATAGAGGCAGAAGAGAAGAGGACCCAGGACGGACCCTTGGGAGCATAACCCTATAGGAAGATCCAACAAAAGAGACTGAGGAATGGTTAGACAGATAGGAGGAGAACCAGGAGAGAGCAGTGTCATGAAAACGTAGAGAGGAGAGAATATCCAGGAGAAGATTAACATTCACAATGTGTGGTCTCTCTCTGTCCCTGTTTTAGATGACCCTTTTTGTCTTGAATTAAACATCAGTACACTGGTGCCTTCTAAAAAATTGTATTAATATAATCTTCTCTTCTGATTTTAGATGGAAATCATATGGTATAGAGTGTTTGGGTGACATCTGCTTAACAGATCTTCAAGAAACTGGTACTTGGTTTTTATTTTATTTACCATGATGCTTAATTGTGATGAATATTAGTAACTTGTTCTACCCTTTTATCACAAGTCTATTAAAAATCAAATGTAAATACTGTGTAGTTAACTATGATTTTATAAGCTTTAAAACTGTGCATAGGAAACTCAGCTGATAAATTTATATATATAGGGTGTCCCAAAAGTCTTAGTGCCATTTTAAGCTTTAGTAGCTAAAAGTACCAAAAGTACTTTAGTACTAAAGTACTAAAAGTGCTTTAATACTAAAAGCTACTAAAGCTTAAAATGCACTAAGACTTTTGGGACACCCTATATTCTAAGTGTTAGTCCATAATCTTTTAGGCAAACTGTATTTGAAATTATGTTAGAAATTCATTTTCTGTCATTTTATATGATGTCTGATAAAGTGTCCTTTCTATGAAAATGAGGTGCAGCATGGATTAATGGGTAGTAGGCCTTGAATCTAGGATGGTGTAATGTTCAAGTGCTGCCCTTAGCTGTGTGACCCTGGGCAAGTTACTTAATATCTCACTGCTCTAGGCAATTCTTTAAGACTATAAGTTGCAGAGAAGGTGCTGACCTGTATTGAGAGAGGAAATTTTCTTAACAGGAGATCATAATATAAATGAAATCATAGGTCTGGGCTGGGAAACAAACTAACTCACAATATTCAGGGTAAGTCATTGGGAAGGGGGAGATCGAGGTGAAGTGATAGAGCATTTTCTAATGAAATCCCAGGTCTAGTCCTTATCCCTGCCATTAAATGGGTATTCTTTGTGATTTTGCATCTAGACCAGTTGGGAGATTATAAATTCCTTCTAGTGCTGTGAACTAAGAAAGCTTGGATTTTAGGCTCCTAACTATGTCATTTAGAGGCATTAGGTAATTGTTTGTTGAGTGTGATGATTTTCTTATTCAGATGATCGCTAACAATAGAACATTTGCAGAAAAATAAATCATTGAAGATTTGTTGGACTCTGCCAGCAGAGATCTAAAATTAGACTATTTGCTGTACTTACAACTTTTTGTTTTTCTAGCTCAATAACCACTTTCATCTATAATTACACGTAGCATGTAGTTCTAGGAGAAGTGTGAAAGTTTGATTTTTTTTGGAATCTACTGTTTGGCTTTACACCCTTTGAAATATGAAAGCAGCATAATTATAGCCTGTGTCCTCCCTCTCTCACATAACCGACTGAGTTGTTAGGGGCTGAATATGCAAGCAATAGATTATATATACCTTTTGCCTGACAGCCCATTAACACTTTAAGTAAAAAAAAGAGGAAGGGAACACTCACTGCAGTCATTTTGGCCTTGATGGTGGAAGATGCTCATTAGAGACCTATAACTTCATTTATCCACGATAACCTTCCACCAACCCCACAGATAATGTCAAATGTGGTATTAAAAAGCCAGTGCTTCCTTTTTTCTGGATGTAGTGATGGGCAGGAATTCTGATCCTTAAAATGCCATCTCTATTAATACCACATGAGGAAGCAGTAATAATGGGCATGGGGAGAATGTTTGGCTGTTCCTAATTTGCTGCCTCTGTGGGCAACCTATTGTGAAGGATAGGCCCCTCTTTTGTACCTATTGATCCTGGATCCCAGTAATTTGATAGCCCTTGGGAGTAGGGACATTCTATGAGAATTTGTCTTTTTGAGATTTTTTTAGACCATTTTGTATTCCCATGCTTCGTCCTTAATTTTAAATTGACAAAATTCTGTCATCCTTACCTCCCATGCCAAGAAATGTACCAGACTAAACTAATGGAAAATAGCATTTTGTTGGAAGTGTGACATAGAACTAGTTAAAGTCTTACTGCCAGGCATTAATGCCTCTCCTGCAGTCAGAGGACATGCTCACAGTTTTTTGGTTTCAGCGTTTTCATTTCAATAAATATTTATTGAGTTGAGCCAGAACCTTCTGATATGACAGATAGCTTCCTAGAGAGATGACAGTAATACTGTTGGGTTGGGGATAATGGAAATTGTTTCTGCTGTAATTCTTTACGAAAAAATTTAATGCTTTTTTTTTCTTTTCCTTTTCCTCCCTTAGAAGACAGAAGTACCTAATGCACTTGAGACAGAAGTAAAGTTGGGGGGAGGGGGGAAAACAGCAACTGCTTTCCTGATCTGCAATTTGGCAGGACACTAAAATGTCTGTGGACATGAATAGCCAGGGATCTGACAGCAATGAAGAGGACTATGATCCAAATTGTGAGGAGGAAGACGAGGAAGAGGATGAGGACCCTGGGGATATAGAGGATTATTATGAGGGGGTAGCAAATGATGTCGAACAACAGGGAGCAGATGCCTTTGATCCAGAGGAATACCAGTTTACCTGCCTGACGTACAAGGAGTCAGAGGGCACCCTGAACGAGCACATGGCCAATTTGGCCTCTATGTTAAAGGTGAGCAAAATTACTAATTTTTGGAGTTATATGTTTCCAAAATGCTAAAGGGGGGAGGGATGGGCAGAGGCTATTTAAAATAAAGTAAAATTACCTGAATATTTGAGGTGAAATTCTCATAAGGATTAAGGAAATTCCAAGTTGAGTGAAGGGTGTGTGTGTGTGGGCTTCCTCATTCTTGTCACAAGTGGAGGAAGCTAGGTTTAAACGTAGTTTAAACATCTTTTGGAATATGTTTCTTGTATTCACTGATGTGCATTAATAAGTGGGTACACTTGGTCTCCCAACTCACCGTGCTATTTTTGTTAAAATTGACAGAAGGAAAGTAGTAGAGAAGACAAATCAGAAATGTATAAGGTATTAGAAGAATCGAATGTATTGCCATTTGTTGCAGAAAGTGAGTCATGTTCATTCTCAAGAGCTAAGGAATGATTACTATAAAATATCCCAACACAAATTCTCCACCCCATTGTTTATGAGTGACTAATAAATGATTTTGATAGCTCTCATTGCCCTGAAAAAGTAAAGGCACTAGACTGATGATCTCACTTGTTTCATGTAATGATGACTAATATTTATTGTTAGGAGAGATTTCTACTTCTGTCAAGTCGGTCTTAGCAATAACTCTTAAGAGGAAACTACGTCTCCTAATACCTTATACTGCATTTGGTATCTTAGAGTACACAATTGTTAAGGAGTAAAATGTTTCATATTAGTACTTTGATTGATATCTTAAGGCTCTTGCTGACCGTTAGAGCTTTAGGAGTTTTTAGAAAAGTTCCCCCAGCTTGCAATTTCCTACTTCCCTACACATGGGAATAATGCTTTGAAAGTGAAGGAATCTTTCGTTATCCTGCCTTTTTCACTTTTGTAATTTAGGCATTGCATGGGTTTCCCAATATGCTGTGCTCAACTTACAGAAGAGGTTCAGAGTTTTTGAAAGGCATGTTCTCAGTGAATAACATACATTGCTATTGAATGGAAAATTATTGTGGTATGTTGTAGGCACTTGGTGTGGTGGATAAAGAGCTGGCACAGGAGCCAGAAAGACGTGGGTTCAAGTTCTGCCTCTGACATATGTTGGTGTGATATCCTGGGCCAGTCACATAACCTTAGTGTTCTAGGCAACTCTCTGTCTTTGTCTATAGGTTTCAGAGAAGGTGTCCTGGAAGCTTTGGGTTCTGTGGTGCATAAGAACTTGTAGGATTCATATTTGAGGATTGTACTTCTGTGTTAAAAATAGTGGTCTTCCTCCACCCTGCACATCCCAAATTAAAAGTTATTTCAGCTCTCTTTACTTTTAAGTTAGTGCCAGGATGAGGCATGGTGTGAAGGTCTATTTGAGAAGAAAAAGTGACTGATTGTACTCAAATCTCCTGATCATTTATAAATCCCCTGTTCTAGATCTTGAGAGCCCAGCGGCTCAGAGTAAATCTCATTTTGGCTAAGCAGACTCGGTATATATGGGTACTTTGGTATTCTATATGTACTTTAGCCCCTACAGGAAATAGCTATCTTCTCTGTGCTTTTCTAAATCCTGTCCACCTTCATTGTTGAGCTCAAGCCCCTATTTTACCCTGTTCTAGTCCAGGCCTAACTCATACCAGCCTAGTGATTCAGTCTGGGCATGAAAATATGGTGAAGCACTTTTAGACCATAAAATGGAGTAAAAGCAACTGGATTGATAACGAGAGGAAGCAGGATACGATTTCTAGCTAAATTCAAATAAAACATTATGCCCTCTTTGCCTTGGAGTTCAAGACAGCACTGTGCAGTAGGTGGTTTCCCTGCTCCCTTGAAAGGGAAACTAGTGGAGTCTGTAAAATTGGTGCTGCGCTTGCCCTCTCTGACTTTCAGCTTAAAGCAGTATCTTCTTCCTCCAGAATCATAGCACACAGTGCCAGTAACATTTTTTTTTTTTTTTTGGAAATTAATCATGTGTTGCTTTGTCACTTTTCTTTTTGGCATTACCTTTTTTTTTGATGAACTTCCATGTGGTTTTTCTCTCCAACTAGATAACTGTACTTTTTTGGTATTCTTCAAAAGGTAGCACAGTGCTGGGCACAGTATAAGCATTTAGCAAATATTTATGTGGTGTAGTAGAAAGAAAAGTGGAATCAGAAGACCTGAATTTGAAACTTACCCCTGCTACTCCTTACCTATGTTACCTTGGGCAAGTCACTTAACCCTTTTGGGCCTTAGTTTCCTCTTCTGTAAAATGAGGGGATTGGGCTAGATAGCCTCTGAAGTCATTTCCAGTTCTAAATCTATACGTGTTACAACATTGATTGCTAATGGCTGTTGATTCCCTAGAGTTAGTTGCTTTTGTTTAATTAACATACTCATGTCCTAGGTTGCTGTTCAAATTAAGGCTTGGATGGAGCTTGGAAATTAGGTCAAGAGGCTATCCGGTCCAACCTCCTCCTTTTACAGATGAAGAATATTAACTTTGATGAGGTTAGGTGACTTTTCCAAGGTTACACAGGTTCTTTGACCTGTGTTTGTTCTACTGTCCCTCTGTTACCAGAGTATTAGAGATCTAAACAGTTAAAATCATTCAGTCACATAGGATCCCAGACTTAGGGTTAAGGAAAACCTTACTAATCCTCTAGTCCGATTCTCAAGGTTGTTCAGGTAGTATATGGCAGAGCTAGGATTTGAACCCACCTTCCGAGACTTTCAGATCCAGTGCTGTTTTCTTTTACACCAGGGTAAACCTGTCCTGGCATTACTGACACCTGGTGAACTTGGTGAACTCCTTGCCCTCTTTGATCCATCATCCCAAGTCTTAGATTGCAGCAATCTAGTGTCCTGCCCCCCTTTATTTAAAGATGAGGAGTGGGAGGTGGGCCAGCAAAAGAAGAGGGATTGAAAAAGCTTGACAGAGGAAAGACAGAAGAATGAAGACTAGAAATAGATGGAGGAAAAGAATGAATAAGGTAAAAGGAGAAATAGACTTGATGTTCAAAGAGGGACCTTCTTTGAATTGTTAAGTACCCATTTCCAGATCAGCTCTTGTGCCAGGAAGGCAGTCGTGAATATCACTTGTCTTCTGCCTATACTTATTGGTGAGCTTAGGTAGTGCGGGGCCTTTTCTTGAGTAAAGTGTCATCTTCCAACCTAGAGGCATCTTTACCAAGAGTCAGGAGGACTAGGCAAAATCAGCTTTCTGAAGGAAAAAGGGCCAGGGATCGTAATGTGAAGTGATGGATTTGAGAGATGGAGGTTGGTAAAGCCTGTTGGTCTGAGGAGACTGGCTATTAAGAAGTGAGGCCAAGTGACGCATGCATCTTCTCTTTGCTTATCTTTCAGAGTATGTTTGGAATTAAAGACCAATAGCAGTGAACTATTTCATTATTGCATGTTGAAAGGATTTTCCTAAGGGCTGAGTCCTTAGCCAGTATTGGTACATATAGGGAGGGAGGAAGCATTCTGTTGTGTGACCATATAGGAGCCTCTAAAGGAAATTTAGTCATTGAGTTTTATTACAGAGCATTATAATACTTTCATAAATGTAGTGTTCATATTGTTAATAGTATATACTGTAGTTTATGAGACTAGGGAGGCCCTTTCGCTAAGGGCTGACTGATAGCTCTAACATTTATCTCAAGTGTGCAGGGATTACTCATGAAGAAATTTCAAAATCATCCACTGAGGCCGTGAATGTAGTAGTACTCTTGAAGTCTATACATGCATAAATGGAAGCCCTCCTTCTGAAGGGCGTATATTGCAATTAAAAGCATTTTGTGGTGCATAGGGCATTTAGTTCAGAAATAGCCCAGCTTTCATTCAAGAAATATTTAAGTTCAGTTGTATGTCTTCTGCACTGCTAAGGGTGTTCCAGGGAATATGAAAGAAGACACAGTTTTGTCCTCAACTTGCTTATGATTGGAGCTGGGAAGATAAGATGTGTTTACCTGAAAACCTGAGAACAGTTTAAAGCAATTACAGGATTCCATGTAAGGGAAAGATCACTGTGGGATCACTAGGGTTAGTCTAGTAAGCCATCATGGAAGAGTCAGAGTTTGAACTGAACCCCAAAAGAAATATAGGCTGAGAAAATCAGGTAAAGAAAGCAGCTTGAACAAAAGCACATCAGTGGGAAAGGGCATGCTATTTGTAAGGGATGGGGGGAGGAGAAGGAGGCACATGGGTAATGTATTTAGAAAGAATGAGATGGTAGTTAAATTGAGGTCAGATTTGGATGTCCTGAAATACCAGATTGTAGTATTTGACTTTTATTTACAAATAGTAAAGTCCTTAAGTTGAGGAATAATGTAAAGAGTTAATATCTCTTTAATACTCTTCTCTAAATTATAGCATATGAGAGCAAATTATTGTAGATTTCTGAATAAGATGGTAGTAGAGTTGGGATATTAGAGGTCGTGTAGCCCATCTCTCTCATTTGACAAATGAAGAGACTAAGGGCTTCTTCACCTCATCCTCTCTCAGTTTTTTTGTTTTGTTTTGTTTTGTTTTGGGCAATAATGGATGCCTAGTTTCTTTCAGAAGATACTTCATCTCTGACTACCTTTTCTAGTGCTAGGAGCTCCTTTTCTCATCTCTACTGTCACCCTGAACAAATAGAGGCATGCTTCTTACTTCTCATAACCACTTCTAAACTGTTCCTTTGCTGCTGTCAGTCAGCAATCTCTCTTCTTTTGAGATTTGTTTCTTCTGTTTATATTGACTAGTACAAATTCTTATTTATATTACCTATATAATGTACCTGGTCTCCAGGAACATCCCCCTCCCCCCTTTTTTTTAGGAACTTAGTACCTGGCACAGTTTTCTTCTCAACATCAACCTCTTCATTATCAGGAACTTATCCATGTTGATATCCCCACAATTATTCTGACTTCCTCTTTTATCTACCTTCTTTACTCCCTTCTTCTGTATCTTCTATCTTAGCCACCCACAGGAATGATTATATTCTTAGAGCTTACTTTTTACCCATAACTCTGTCATTGCCGTGATCTCGAATTCTGAAATTCCTCTCT